CTGGTGCTGTCTTCCCAGCTCCAGATAAGTGCTGGAGAAAGCTGACTGAGTCTTTAGAAACTGTGGGCCCAAGGCTGGTGACAGAAGAGGGTGTAATTAAAATGAAGAGTCCTGGGGCCTCTGCGGAGGACTTTTCAGAATCCCTGGAAACTGAAAATTTTGTCTCCCAATCACTGTCCAGCTTCCCTCTCATCCTACATTTTGGTTAGAGGAGGGGTCTCTAGGGAAGGATTTTCTAGACTTTGGGGCAGTGCTGGGTTGAGGCCCTCCCCTAGAGGGCGCAGCTTTCCCATCTTCCCTGGCGGAGCTCCTGTTAGGAGGCATTCAATCCCTCCTTTTGCTTTTTGTCTTCTAGGAAAAAGAAGCAGGAAAAACTTCAGCATGGAAAACACCCCCCAGGAAAGCAAAGGAGAGGAGCAGGCCCCAATGCAGAATGAAGAAGCAGCCCGCCCCTTGGGAGGTGGTGAAGGCCAAGAGCCTGGTGGAAATATTAGAGGGGGGTGGGCTCCGCCTGAGCAAGATTTTAGAGAGGATATGCCCAATAGGCTTGTCAATAACATCGACATGATAGATGGGGATGCAGATGACATGGAGCGTTTCATGGAGGAGATGCGAGAGCTAAGGCGGAAAATTAGGGAGCTTCAGTTGAGATACAGCCTGCGCATTCTCATCGGTGACCCGCCTCACCATGACCATCATGATGAGTTTTGCCTTATGCCTTGAATGCTGAGCTTAAGAATCATAAACCCCCTGCTCCCCAAACTTGCATTTTCTTGATGTACCCTTTACTGTGAACCTTGTCTGTCACTCTTCTGAGCTGAAATTGTTTTGACTTAGTCTGTAAGTTTTTTTTTTCTGTCAGCGGGGGGTTGCATTAACTTGCATGCAAACATGCTTATTACATATTCTAAAGTTAATAAAGCAGTTTTAAAAGCAGTCTAAAGGTAAACTATCTTATTTAAAACCATGCATGTATGTTATTGAAAGCATTTTATGGGGATGGAAATAATTGATAAATACTTGAGACACAATCTAAAGACATGCACCTTATATTACTGCTGCCTCTCTTATTTAGAATCACAGACTTGGTGATTATTAGACTCATTTCTTTAAAGCCTATTCATCACTAAAATAAAGATAATACAAACTTTTCAGGGCGGTTGTGGGGAATCAAATGAAATAATGGCTGGGCTCTGTCTCTGTCCCTGCATGCGAGGCCCACCCTTAGGTGTCCCTTGAGTACGCCTACCCACAAGTGCTTGACTACTCCGTGGGTGACGTCTTTCTGTGCCATGGCCCCTTCCCTGGATAATGATGTGACTAGTAGGCATTCCTTCCCCTTCTGTTAGGTTTTGCTCCTCTCACTGGTCCTCACTGTTGCTGATGTGCTGGAGTCCCGAAGGTGACAAAGACTCACTGGTTTCTCTAAAACCCTCCGTGATCTGAATCCCCATTTTGCCTTTTCAGAAATGTGGAGAATGTCTCTCTTCCTTCTTTAGAGTTTCCTTAATCCAGGTAGTTTCTTCCCAAGTGCTGCTCAGGGATCCAAAAGCCCTTTACACTTTTCCTCAGATTTTACTCCTCAGTCTCCTTTCCCCAGATAAATCTGTCACTCTCGACAGTGTGTTCTGAAATGGACTCGCCTTTCCATCCTCTGATGGATATGACCTCATCTCCTTGACTTCATTTTCTGCACAGACATCACTGTAAGTTTCATTCTGCACATACCCAGTATTGTAGGATGACTGTATCCTCATGTGGCACTCTGATCCCCCACCATCACCCCATCAGTCCTCAGTAATTTCTATTCATACTAACCTACGTGGATCCAGAGCAGTTTGTGACTTTCTGTGCCCAAAAAGCCAGTAGTCACAGATCGATGGGAAACATTAGCCAAAACTGAGAATCGTGTAGATGTATTAAAATATTTTAGAATCTGGCCCTCCCTGGTGGCGCAATGGGTTAAAACATAGCACTGGGAGGCTAGAGCCACTTCAGCATGAGTTTGATCCCTGCCTGCCCCGGAGGTGACCCACATAGTGAGGCAGACCTCTCCTGACCCACCTGCTGCTCCCCTCAGCAGTGTACGTCTACCATCTGCCTGTTCTGTTCCCCACTCAGCCTCTGGTGAAACCTCTCACCACCCCTGCACCACTGGCCTGTACCCCAGTTCTGTATGCACAAATAAATTTTAAAAAAATATCTTAGGGTCCTCTCTGGTGGCACAATGGGTTAGGATGCAGCACTGCAAGCTGGCCACAGCCCCTTCTGTGCGAGTTCAATCCTCGGCTCCGGAGGTGATCCACGTGGTGCAGCAGACCTCTCCTGTCTCTCCTGCTGTTCCCCTTAGCAGTGTACTTTGTTGATCTGCCTATTCTGCTCCCCACTCTGTCTCTGGTGAAGCCTCTCACCTCCTCTGTACCTCTGGCCTGTGCCCAGTTCTGTATGCAAATTTAAATAAATCTTTAAAAACAATAAGACATTTTGATTTTCAGAACATTTTCCACCCAGTTGTGGTTAGAACACCATCTCATAATCACTGCTCCCCAACTGGACCACCCTTTTCATAATACCTGGTACCCTTAGTGCCTAGCTTGGAGTTTGTAAGTTACAGGCCATAGTAGTTGGCTCTAGCTGAGTCAAGAGTCCTGCAATCTGGATCCAGACTTCCCTCTTATCATCTATGGGAAAATCACTTCTTTACAGACTATAGTTTATAGTTGTAAAAGGGATACAACAGAGAAAACATCAAACACCAATGTGACATGGACTTTCTGTGATGTATGTCAGTGTTTATCATCATGTGCTATAGAGATCAGCTCTGTATCACAACTCCCAGTAAAAGTGGCCAATGATCCAGGAAACTTAATCCATCACCACATCAGACATCTCTGAACTTAAAGTGTAGACTTTGGCTTTAGTTCAAATTGGAGCAGATGAATTCTGTGAGGGCAATTTTTAAGGCCTTGATTAATCCATACAGGCTTTATTTTCTTTGTACTTTGTGGCCTTTTAAAGAAACAACTGTCTTATTTTTATGCTATTAATTTTAGAGCATAAATTCCAACTTTGGATGCAGATTTGAATTATCTGAGATTTAAAGTGGAGCTTAAATATTAAAATCAGCAGGCAACTACAAATTAGAGACATTCTGCAGGGGGGCAAGAGGGAATAGGGTCAAAAGGGGTGGGAAGAGCACAAGGGACTATGGTGATGGTGCACAGGTGAACTGCTGGTGGGAATTTTGCAGTGACTATAGCCAAAATGAAATGCATTCATTTTACAAAAGTGAAGAATGATGTAATATACTAAGAAGATAAAGCGGAGCTTAGGGCCCACTCCCCACCAATTGAATCAGACTCATTAGAAAAAAGACTAAGGGATTATTTCATTGAAATAGCTCTCACAGAGATTCTGACACAGGATGAAAATGAAAACGTGGATATAAGTTGTGACTGAAATTATCTTTGGTCTGTTTTCACTGTACTGCTCTTAATTGACTATGCCACCTGAAACAAGTCATTTCACTTACTTAGAATGTTTATCCTGTAAAAGACATCAAAGAGGAGGAATTACAGCCCAATATTAACTTAGGTGATGGTTTTAAAGATGGTGTATGCCAGTGTTCCTTCAAGTATCTGAGCCCTTCAAATTAAAACTGAATAATATTCTATTGAAAGTATATATCACTTGCATTTTTACATCTATCAGTGGACACTTGGGTTGCTTTGCCTTCTCCTACTGTTGTGAAAAATGCCACTGTGGACTCGGGGACACATATCTATTTAAGCTTCTGCTCTCAATTCTCGTGGGCGTATTCCAGAAGAACTGTTAGAACACATGGTAATTTTAGGAGGTTTTAAAGCAGCATCATAATATTATCCACAGCAGCTACACCATTTTGTATTCCCACCAGCGGGGCACAAGCGTTTAGATTTCTTTACGTCTTCAGCAATATATTATGATTTAAAAATAATAATGGGTATGAAGTTACAGCTCAAGTGAAAAAGACTTTCACCTTTCACTTCCCTAATAGTGATGCTGAGATTCTTTTTATATGTGTTAGCCTTTTATATATCTTCTTTGAAATAAAATGCCATTTCAAGTTATTTGCCCATTTTGGTAGGTTCCCTTTTTGTTATTTGAATAATAGAAATTCTGTCACACCTTTGAACTTGATTTCTCATATTGTTGCAAAATAGATACACAGAGAAATTTCCAAATCTTCCAAGTTGTTGCCTTTTAGTTTAACACTTCTTTTTTCCATCATTTCTCTCTACTCATATACTACTACAAGCATTCAGCTGGAACCAAGCTTATCTTGCAGCTCTTGCTTAGAAATCGCCTCAGCTAAATATTCAATTTTGTTGCAAACAAGCTCTATCTTGTCCTAAGACACACTTTATTTTTTTAATTATTAATTTATATTATTGTTTTACACTGTAAGACACTGGAGTATGAACACACTCAGTCCAGTGTATTTGCCACTCAATAACAGGAATTGCCTTTCACCATTGTACAATAACATGCTTCTCATTTTTACCTGAGACCTCACAGAATTGTATTTGTAGTCCATGTTTAACCCACATTCTGAACTGGCTCATTTATGTATTCTATAATAAGATGGAAACAATCTCCAGCATTCTGATTTCCTTTCTGAGCCCTCATCGCAGCTAAGTTTAATAATCCCTTCAAGGCAATATTAACTTTTTTTTAATGTATTTCAACATGTGAATTTGGGTGGACACAAACGTTCAGTCTATAGCACCAATTTGAGTTTTTGTTGTTGCGGCCTGTGCTTTGAATGTCACATTCAAGAAATCATTGCCATATCCAAGGGCTAAAGTTTCTCTTAGTTTTTTCTTCCAAGATTTTCAAAATTTTAGTTCTTACATTCAGAATTTTTACCTATTGTGAGTTAATTTTTGTTAATAGGGTTCAGGGCCTTGTTTCATTCTTTGCATGTCAATATTCACTTTCCCCAGCAACATTTATTTAAAAAGCTTCTCTTCCTGGTTAAATGGAAAATAATTAGAATGAAAAATTTATTGGATCATCTCAAATAAAAATTGGAACTGGCTGAAGAAAAAAAAAAATCAGTGAACTTAAAGACTATAAACACTACAAGTAAATGCAATTTATTTAAAGAAGTAATAGTGATTCTTGAGCCGGGGAAACAAAAATAAAGAATCCATTCACAATATGACAGAATAGGAGGTTCTGATAGTTGCATCCTCTCAATACAACTATAGAAAAAATAAATTTTCCTTGGAGAAATTGTCACCAATTTGGGCACTCCCTCATGGCACCATGGTTAGGACACAGCATTGCAAGCTACCGCAGCCACTTCAGCACAACTTCGATCCCCAGCCCCAGAGGTGACCACATGGCGTGGCAGACCTCTCCTGACACACCCGCTGTCCCCCTCAGCAGTGGACTTCATCAATCTGCCTGCTCTGCTCCCTACTCTGTCTCAGGTGGATCCTCTCACCGCCCCTGCACCTCTGGCCTGTACCCCAGTTCTGTATGCATAAATAAATAAATCTTTAAAAAAAAGTTTAAAAAAGAAATTGTCACCAGTTCAACACCAGCAACAGGAAAGCAAAATACAAATATCTTTCTCCAAGGTTCATGGTTTGGCAGAGCAGTAACTGGTATTGGGGTTTCTGATAAGGCAGTAAACATATCAGCTGGTCTAGAAAGTTAGGGGTCAGGGACAAATCGTGGGCAGTGCATCTTAGTGAGCAGCACACTCAGACCTTGTCTATTAGTACTGGAACCATTGAACTGAGTTGTGGAAATCTGGCTGCTGGCTGCATGACCAGGGGAGCCCTTCCCCCTTCCCTCTGGGGATTGCTGTGAGAGATCAGCTGAACATTTCATGCCAGAAGAATTTTCACCCTCCCACAAATACTGCACACTTCACACCAAGTTAG